TATTTATTCTTCATGTGTAATGGCAAGCTTCCCTTGTTAGCTTAGGGTGACCAGATTTCTGACATTAAATCTGAGGACATTTTTAGTTTGGAGATAAAAAAAGAATGAGAATGATATGAATATGTAATGGGGACAGTCACCATTTCATATATTTTAAAAATATTTACTCATGTTGAACAATAAAAATAAATTGCAACAGCAGAATGCATCTCCACAATGTTTTTAGCACCTCTTAGTTGTGCTAAAAGAGATAAGTAAAAGAAGTAGTTATTGCTAATCTAAAAATGAGCACTGACACAATTGTTTAAGTCTACTAAATCTAAAGCACTTGCACACTGAAGAATGTAGCAGAAGCTAATTCTAAAGCACAAAAACAACAACAACAATCAACCATTGGAATATTCTCCAGAGTCAACATGAGCCACATATTGCTATGTTGCCCTCTAGAGGCTCATCATTGACATTTCACAGTCTTCTGCAGGTTCACAAGGTTTAGGGAGGTGATTCTTTGAAAGAGATGGTTAGCTCTCTTGCTTGTTGGTCATTTTCCTATGTTTATGGAAGGGCTTTGGTCACAGCCTGCAGCATGAAGTTTGGATAATTTTGAGAAATAATGTACTCCCAATCTATGAGGGTTTGCTGTTATAAGACAATATTTACTATGTGCAGAATATTAATATGTCTCCCAGTGGATAAGTGACACACATGACCGTTATGTGTGACAGCTTTCACCTTCAGCTGTTAAAAAATGTGTATACTAACATTAGTGAGCTTGTGTAAATTATGAGTGAATGTGAACATGTATATACTTACAAACAGATGATAATAATACAATCACAACCCCCTCCAAAAACATTAGGTAGAAATCAGAGATATATCCGAGTATAGCTTTAGCCAAGGACAGGTCATCAAAAATTGAAACTGTCCCCAGACGTCAGGGAGATCTGGTCACTCTATGTTAATGTAAACACTATGCTAAATGCATTTGGATGTATGCAATACATGGCAGAATTAAGTCTTAATATTGTCACTGCACAAGCTACATATGTGCTGTACCTAGGGGTGTGTGTGTTTCAGGTTCACATGTGATTTGCTAGCCATCCAGAACATCATGAACACATTAGTATTTTTATAATAGGGTTGTTTCACACCAATTTGAGGCCACAAAGCAAAAGGGCAGGCTCTGTGGATAATCAGGTACATTAGAAAGATCCTATTGAAATATCGCCCCAACAATAAACGGAAGTCGAGCATTGGAGCAACCACTCTTTTATTATCATTATTCAAGAAATATAATTCTTAAGAAAATAATTTTTGGAAGTACACAGAAGCCTAAGTGCAATGACAAAGTGAATCAGTGTGCTGAAACATGGTTCAAAAGATCCTATTTGCGTAAAAGTAACTACATTTTTGATTGTTGTGGAATTAAAAAAACGACTACCTCAATCTCTGCATTGTATCAAGCAGTAAAATAAAGCCATTTACTGTGTTCTTCACTCCTAAACATTTGCCTCATGTTACAGAATCAAACTGGGGTTCATCAGTCCAAGCATCAAGATACAACATGGCCTTGTCGTACTCCGTCTCTCTGACGGGTGTGGAGGATCACGTCAAGAATTTTAGGTTAGTACATTACAAACCTTAATTACTTGAAAACATATAAACCTTGAAGTAAATTTGAATTGTTTTACTGGCCTGTTACTTCCTTACAAAATAGTAATGATAGTTTCTTTATTTTCAGGTGTGCTGAGTTCAAGTTTTAGGGGGTGCCTGAGCAAAAATGACAAAAATCGCCAGTGTATAATATTAACTATTTAAACTTGTTTTTTGTTTCTTTTTTGTTTTTTTCAGACCACAATGTCTTGTCCTGACTGGACGCCCAAATCTACGACCTGCTCTGGTGGACTTTGTTGGTTGCTTCACGAAAAACGTCAGCCTCATGATTTGTGGAGACATCCTAATGGTACAAGCTGTTTTTTTTTTTCTAAAAAGGAAACAATCAGCATTCATCCAGTTATAAACACTGTGACAGAAGCTTGTCTTTACTTGGACTCTTGTAGGAGCAGGACAGGACCACACTGTCTCAAGATGCTTCAGACAGCTTGGTTAAGTGGTTGAATAAGAGGAAGGTTCGGTCGTTTTATACTCCGCTTTCTGCTGAAAGTCTCAGAGCAGGAGCTAAACACTTGTTAGAGGTACATTGTTTTTATTTTATCTCTCCATCTGTTTTTGTCAGCAGGATGTTATAAATGCTATGAATATTTTTGCTTTGAATCCAATGGCTTCTTGTACCATTATATTTTCTGGGTTCATATTAATAATAAAAATTGTTTTGTTTATTTATCACCAAAATAAATAAATGTGTCTGGATATGTCTCATTTATTAATATTTATTTTCTCATTCTCTCAATAACCTCTCTAAGGCATCTGGTCTTGGCAAATTAAAACCCAACACTTTGGTCCTGGGCTTTAAGGGAAACTGGAGGGAGAGTGCTCCTGAAAGCATTGAGGATTATATCAACACCATTTAGTAAGCTGCTCACCAACCAATTTTTTTTCCCAGCTTTGAAATTATTACTTTTTAATTTAGCTACAAATAAAGTACTTTTCTTTTTTCTTTTCATTTTTTAGTGATTCCTTTGACTCCAACTACTGTTTGTGCATTTTGAGGATCGTGGGTGGGCAGGATATCTCTGAAGATATAGAATGTGAAGGTTTGTTCAATAAAAAATATTCCTTTTGTGCTCAACCATAAATTGACATCAATTTATAAGAAAACCCTGGCTGAGAATATACTTTTGACTTCACAGTAAACCAGGGTTTTGAGCCTGATGAAACAATAGAAAACCAAGACCAGCAAACTAATAATGAGGACGTAGGTAAGAACTAACAAAACCCTGAAATTTACACTCTGCGTGTCTGTGATAACTTTGTTTTTAAAACTACTGTGGGGCCGAGAATTTTACCAGCTTGTGTCTGGGGCGATTGAAAAACTAAATATTAAAAAAAATGTCACTAACCCTTTTTTATCATTTAGCTGACTTTCTGAGTGTAAAATCCTAGTTTTAAAACAAAAAAATAAGTATTTCGGAATGGAACACAGCTTTTACCATTGGTGCATGGCTTTTGTTATGATGTMATCATTCTGGTACAAAAATAACCGCTAATACAGCTAAGGCTGCTAACACTGCTAATGCTTCCCTACATGACATCAAACTTGCAGTTACGGCTGCTGTCTGCAGATGCACTTCAAGCTGCCAGACCACAGGTACCATCCAAATTGTTTTTAATAAACACATTTTAAATTTTAAATACCATTTTCAGTTAACGGTTGCTTTTATCGCAGGATTACGACGTCACAATAAAGCTGCACACTTACAGCAAAGGCCGTGTTACATATCAAAATTCTTAAATGTAAGCTTTATCATTCAGCTAAAGCATTTATATTAACATGTTTAGATTTAACATTTAACATTTACATATGACATTTAGGAAAAAATAGCAAAATGTAAGAACAGTGAGCTAAATAACAATACAATGTTTGTGAAAGTATTTCAACTAGGATTTTACACTCAGACAGTGAGCAAAATATTGAAAATGTGTTGGTGACTTTTTTTACATTTTATTTTACACTTGGTGTCCTATACTTGTTTATTTTTGAAAAAATAAAAAAACAGAAATTTGTGACTTTGACTTTGTGAATTATACTGTTTACATAAATTTTAAGCTTTCATTGTGAAGCCTCTTGAAAGCTTACAGTACATCACTGAGTCTGATGGTCAGTTTCCCTCTAATACCTTCATGCACTGACCAAAGCATCTCTCCTGTGAGCCAGGCAAACAAAGCCCTTTAATGATTCTTCTTTGTGAGCAGTGTGTAATTTAATCTGCATGTGATTTTAAGTTACCTGACAGAGTTTCACACTAGCTTAGTGATTGATGCTCCAGTTTAAGATAGTATTCTCTCCAATGAGAGGTGAATGTCTAACTACAGAACATATGTCTATTGTTTTTATTTTTATTTTTATTTTTTTAAAACCTTTTTGGATTTACTACATCCTGGCTGACCGAACCCCCTTATCATCATTCTACACCAGAATAAATAGATTTGTGTAATACTTGGTTTTCCACGAATGTTTAAGTAATGAACTAGTTGCCACCAGCTTCTACTCTCCCATCTTATGGGGGATTTTTTTTCTAATGTTTGAAATTCACCTGTATTTGCAGCTGATAACATATCTGATGAAGGTGACATTGACCAGGTCCAAACAGTGTTTCAAAGTAACCAGGGCAAGAAGACCATAGACATCTATTGGATTGCAGATGATGGAGGTGAGTTAATCAAACAGGTTATTACAGAAGAATTAGATAGCTTGTGAGACAATAAGACGTTTTTAGAGTGAGGTTTCACTTTTTGTTTTTTTGTCTTATATAATATTAAAAGGCACTTTAAACTCAATCTGTATAAATAAGTTACCATTATTTACAAGTATTTCTCTTTTTGTAAGGTTTGACATTGCTGGTGCCTTACCTGATCACCAGGAGAAAGCGCTGGCAAAAATGTAAAATCCGAGTTTTTATTGTGGGAGATGAAGAGAACATAGAGGAGAGCCGGAAAGAGTATGTTTTTTTTTTCATCTTACTTTATTTCATTTTTTTTCCAGATGTTTCTGGTAAAGTTCAAACCAACTGAAATAAAACATTTTGGTAATGTGTTTTGTGATTTAGCTTTCTGACCAAGTTCAGCAGGAGTGAAAAAATATAATTTTTGTTCCAAAATTTAAAATAAGAAACAGACGGAAAGTAAATCCATCAATGAAACATTATTTTTTTTTAATTCCTTGTGATAAACATAATATTTCATGGTAAATAGCTCTGTTTGGAAATGATTAAACTAAACATCAGAATCCAAGTCCAATGGTTCCCAAGCTGATTTTTTTCTTAAAATTTCCCTTACTTACTTCTGACCCCCACCCACCATCCATTATTACTCCCAAGCTTTCGCAAAGACACATTCAGATTTTATCTCTTTATTAAAATAGTAAAATAATAAAATTTCTAGTTACAAACTTTAATTTGGAAAAAAAGGACTGAGTTTTACAAAGTTCTGTTATTCTAACAAACTTGTTTTGGTGATTTTTATATATAAACAATAATTGATATTTTCACAATCTCTGAGCAGACATGGCTCAGCCCCCTGGTTGGGAACATGTTTAGTGTATTATTGTAAAACACCCATTGTTTAAAAGAATGAATATGAATATTGATTATTTTACTTGTTTTTATTTGTTTTTTCCAGGATGCTCTTGCTGCTGAACAGGTTCCGTCTGGACATCAGTGATGTTATAATCATGACAGACATCGAGAAACGCCCTCACTCCAAGAGGTAGAATTGCAAAGGATTTTGCTCTTTTATAAAACTACAGCTCACAAAGTATCGTCTACAAAAAGTGTGTGATTCAATTATTTAAATAAATGAACACATTTAGGATTGTTGTGGGTAAAAAAAAAGGCCATTCCAATCAAACTGTAAATGACAGCTATTTGAAATGTTCCTATAACTGTCAACATTAAACTTTTCAGCTTCTGACCAGCAAAATAAAGGAAACAGGGACATGAAAACACCCCCTTAGTTACTAGTAGTTTAGAAACTTTTGTTGACAAAAAAATAAGGGAAAACCCTGACCATAACACAATTTTTTTTATTTCTGCCAATTTTTAAATGTTGTCTACCAGTTATTGTAGGAATATGTTGTTATTGAAGCCTTCTTAACTTAAAATAAACACCTTTGTTTTTTCATGTTAGTGTAAAAGATGGCACTCTCAATCTTTTAAAAGATTATACAGCAGATCTTATTTTATTATGTCTGATGAATCTTTAAATCTTTAATCACCAAACTTTTTCTTCATAGCAAATGTCTTTTCTTGTGTCTTGGCAGCCTGGAAAGGTTTGTGGACAGTGTCGCCCCCTTCAGGCTGTATGATGAACAGCAGGAAGGCGTCTCGGTGCAGGAACTGAGACAAAATGCTCCTTGGAAAATATCTGACAAAGAGTTTGAAGCCTTCAAACWAAAGGTGTGTGTTTGCTCATTTAATATGTGGAGTGAAATGCTACTTCATGATGCATTCTGTTGCAAGTCTGTCTGGATGTACATCTTTTTTCTCACTGAAATTTATTTGCTTTCCTCATTTATAGTCGCAGAGTAAAGTGAGGCTGAACGAAATCATGCGAAAGAATTCACAACATGCTGCTCTTGTTTTTGTGTGAGTACACCGTTTACGTTGTCTAAAAACATCCCTTATATCACAAGCTTGAGAAGTTTGCAACAGGCTTCTAAAATTCCGAAAGCTGAGCACGTTTTCAATCAGAACACAGTTTTACCCAGAAATTTAGTAGATAGAAAAGGAGAATAATTATTTCTGCTTTGACGAGACACTTTAGTGCAATAAGTGGCATACATTAAAAAATATAGATTATTCTATATTCATGTCAATGTGTATGGTTTTGCCCTTTCAGGAGCCTTCCGGTGCCTCAGAGTGACTGCCCCAGTGCTCTGTACATGGCCTGGTTGGACACTCTGACCTGTGGTCTCTACTGCCCTGCTGTGTTAATACGAGGAAACCAACAGAACGTCCTCACCTTCTATTGTCAGTAAACAAACTCCGTGATGAATGGAGGAATATGGATATGGATAACTTGGGGCCATGACTTTAGATAGCATGTGTTAAAAAGGCATGTCAAGATTTATAGCTACTATCGATCATGAAGAGCTACAAGATATTTATGCAGATGTCAGATAATTCCTTTCAACATGACATAAATCCCTGGGCCATATGGCTCAAAAATGTATCATGATATAAAAGTATAATATCAGTCAATTTTGATAATTATTAATTTTTTTTGTTTTACCTATTTGAAATGGCTGGGCTGTCCCTTTGCCTACATTCCCCATAATGCCATGTGGTTCTGAATCAGAGTTCATTGAAATGATCAACAATCTATTGGGCATATTTTCTATTGATATGACAATATACAGTACGTATGTTAATGTTTTCTACTGATATTGATCATGTGGCTATGGCTGTAGTTGTCAGTCTCAGTTTTTTATATAATTCTAAAATAAAGAGAAGACAGATTCAGTGACCCAACTGGTGCTGATGTACCAAAACCTGCCACTACATCAGCTTTCCTGGAACTCTTTAAGGGGTATAAACAATATAAGTATTTATAGTCAATCTAAATGGGCAGCCATTTCCACCAGTTGTTTTATGCTTTCAAACATTTATAGTTCAAATTCAGTAATGCTATGTGCATCAAAATAAAATGAGGAAAATGCAATATTATGTAGAAAAACATAGGAGGTACATTGAGGAAAAACACTTTAATTTAGTAAAGTGCTGGACAGCATCATTAACATATTCAGGTTTTCATTAAATACTTTATTTTTTACATTACTGTTGACCAGTGATTATTGGTTCTTGCACAGCTTTCTGTAACTATTATTATTATTATTATTATTATTATTATTATTATTATTATTATTATTATTATTATTATTATTATTATTATTATTATTATTATCTTCCATTTTGTATTCCTGAAATCAAACTGTTCTTACTGATGGTCTATTTTAACTGCATGTTGCACTATTGCACAAACACCAACTGGTGAAAATAATGTCCAACCCTATTTTTATATTATCAGGTCTTGCCCACTTCTGTATATGCAAATGTCACTTTACCCCCTGCTGACATGCAAACAGCAACCAGTTGAGCAGCTGGTTTTATTGAAGTTGCTGCATTTTTATTCTAACAATAAAGACTCTTCCCAAGTCACCAAAACCCTTTTGACGATTAACTTTTTTTTTTTAAAATTCATCTAATTTGCATGATTTTATGATTCATTTGGCCCATTATGTATGTGACAAAGGAAAGGAAAATTTTATTTGGAAGCATCTTCATAAATTTTATTTTTTTGCTTTTACTTGTCATTAGTAATAACAATGGTTCATTGTTCTTCAGTATAGTTAGTTGTTATTAAATCAAAAACATATAACCCTTTAAAAACCCAGACCCATTTTATTTTTCATGATTAGTGTCACGGTGGGTCCTTATGGGTTAACTTTGCTTCAGATATAAGATGTATCTTGTGTTGATTAGATGTTTCTGTTGATTCAATGATTATCCGATTTGTTTAGGACAGAAAATTATGTTAAGTTAAAAAAAACCCGCAATGCCTTTTTGTTTGTTTCTGTTTCTTTTCAACTTCATACTTAGGTACATGTTRTACATGTGTATTTTATTTGTGTAATAAAGTTCTTGTGTATTTTCTAAGATGTTAAAAAAAGAATGTGACAAATATTCTAAGGAGTGACAGCTGCTGTAGCTCAGTAGTCAGTGCTGTCCTTGTTATTTTGAGGCTGCAGGTTTGAGGCCAGGTTGCATCAGGGAGAGCAACTGGCATCAAACAATCACTAAATCTTTTATTGCGCTAACCGTGGAGACCCCTGAAGACAGGAGGGGAGCTGCCAAAAGCTCAACATTTGAAGGAACAAGAGTTTCTGTGAAATCTGAGACTTTTCGTGACAATATGGCGTGAGGAAGCCTCTCTTCATGACTGCTGACCAAAAGTCATCTTTCAGTAACTGTTCTCTCTCTCTCTAAAGATCATTCCGATCTCACTGTATCTTGATTATTTTAACACCTGTACATCTGAGGCCATACACTTAGAGATCTAATCAAGTAGAGACAAAATGTTTGCATTTTCAAACTCAATAAAAACTGATTCATGCAAAAATGAAATTTGTTTGAGTATGAAATCTTTTGAACTTTACATTTAATCAACTCAGCTGAGTGGAAATTGTTGACATAACTTGGTTAAGTAAACCCAGTAATCTGGTTTTTGAGTAATGGTTGATCATTATTTGTTCAAATGCTCAATGAGAACTTATTCAAGTGTTTTATAATGTCATTAATACTTATGTCTTGCAGATGTTGTAACCCAACTTTGGACAGGAGAGAAAAAAGTTTAATTCACTGAAGATTCCAGAAAGTTTCAAACAGATGTATATACTTAAAAGAAATAACTAAGTCAAAGTAAAAATACCCAAGCACAAAATGAGTTTGGTATTTACAAAAAAAAGGAAGTCATAAAACTGATCACAACTCTAAAGATAGGTACGTTGAATTTATTTAACCAAACTTGTTTCAATAAATTGCTTTACATTTACTCAGCTGGGTGTAGTGAAACCAGTTTGGTTAAAGGCACAGTGTGTAGGATTTGTTGTTTTCAGCGACATTTAGTGGTTGAGTGGTTGAATCATCCTCCCTGGTCCTCCCCCCACCCCACCCCCCACTTCCAAACGCAAAGGAGTTGCTACGGTGTCTCTCAGGTGTCAAAAACCTTTGATAATTCCAACCGTGATGTCTACCAGCAGCTTCAGGGCTAGTGATGTTTCAAGTGGTAAGATTATGAGCTTTAATAAGTAAAATGATCCCAGCTACAATGACAGACGACTAATATTACATTTTTTTGATACCGCCACCGCAGTTTGTCCTTTCATGAGCCTTCGTAGACAAGATGGCGGTGCAAGATGGCGGTGCAAGATGGCGGCTGCCTGTGTGGCGACCCGCGACCATGGAGATATAAACAGCTTTTTATAAGGTAAAAATAATAAAACAAGGTCTTTGTCTGCAATGATTAGGCATCAAAAGGAAAAAAATTGTATAGGTCCTCTGGACGGGTTCTTCTTTAATGAAACGTTTCAT